GTTAAGCATCATAATCGGTTTTTTGTTTTCTTCAATTTTTTCTTAGTTTGCTTCTTTGCTACTGATTCGAAAAAAATGTAGGCATGGGATCAAATGAAAATTTGAATTGTAAATAATGGCAAATATGCATTTAGAACAAATAATAATTTTGTAAAGTCAATGATTATAGGTAGTAGTACAATTGTGATGTTAAGAATGTGGATTTAGTGATGTAATGTTCATATAATATGTGTTACATTAACTTACAAAAGAATTATTAGAGTTAATAATGCCTGCTAAAGATTATTTCTTAGAGATCATACATAATTCATCTATTTATTATTATCACCCTCGATTTAATATGCGTGTAAAGAATATATTTATTAGACAACGTTGACGACTCCGGGTCCACCTGTGAATTTGCTCGCTGAATGTGATTGTTTTTTTATCCCAGCAATTCCTAAAAATCATAATCAATATCAATTGATAATATATATATATATATATATATATATATCAAAATATCCATCATAATTGTTCATTCATTCATTCATTCATTCATTCATACATATTCATAAAATATCATATCTTACCGTAGCATGTTCCAGCAAAAAATAAAAAAATTCCGGCAGCATTAAGTGACGTTACTGAGATAAGATTTGAAAGAAACATCACAGTTGCAAATCTAATAGATATAATTAGAAGAAATGAAAGAATTTAATTTATTGTGGTTATTAGAAATATCATGATTAACAATTTATTACATTAAATATCCTCCGGTAAGAACCCAATTATTCTCAAATCTTCTAATAAATCCATCACTAGATTAAAAAAATCAAAAAAATCAATAATAATAATAATAATAATAATAATAATAATAATAATAATAATAATAATAAATATCATCATCATCGTCATCATCATATTTAATACTTGCAATTTAGAACTTGTGGGGCAAACCTAATTATCAGATTAATTAAAGATTAGAAATTTCTAAAAATTATAAAATGAATTAATTAATTATTATTTATTACCTACCTTTAAACATATTGGAAGTTCCACGAATAGAAGAATAACTGCAATAACCCTAAATATAAGTAAGATATTATTCTAATTGAATTCTTTTGATTAATTATAAAAAAGCACAATATTTATGATATTTATAATTAATTACCAAGCAATTATACTAAATATCACATTAGAAATAAAAGCAATTCCTCCAAAAATAAAAAGAACTAAAGAATCAAATTATTTTTAAAAGATTAATGATTAATTACACCGATTGATTAAGGGAATTGTAATGTTACTTACGTAATATGGAAAGAAGTCCAAACCTACAAATTTTTATAAATAAGAGAAAAATTCAAAATTATTCTCTTTGAAAATTAAAAAAACATCTCAAAACTAAAATGTAATCTTTACCATTGACCATAAATCGAAAAATTCCTGGATTTCAATTCTTCAACAATTCCCATTCTTATAACTAATAGTTTGTTTATTTATTATAATATTTTATTCTTTTCTTTTAATAACAACAAAAACAACAAAATTATAGTTCGTTATTGATTGATATTGATGATTATCTAATATTTATTTATAATTCCAATTTCTTCACAAAAAAAAGCCTTTTACCTTTATTATAATAAGTATTGTTGATCAATAATTTACAATAATTTGTTCATTTTATTCATTATATATTCATTCATGAAATTGAGAAAAAATAAAAATAGAAGAAAATTTTATTAAAGAAAAATTAAAATTTATTATTATTAAAAAATGTTCTGTTAATAATTATATATTCTTTATTTGTCTTGGCTCGGAAATAGTATATTAATATTACTTAATTAAAATAATAAATAATACCAATTTATACGATCAATTAATTATCGTTACTATTAAAATATAATATTTATAATTATCAGTATTAACATTGCAGTAGGTAAAATGATCTCGTAATTATTATTTTTCAGCAAGGTTTGTCCTGAATTTGTTGCAATATTAGGCGTTGTGGGTGACGGTGACGATGGTGGTGGTGACGGTGACGCCGTCTGTGATTGTTGTTGTGGTTGTGGAGGATCAGGTTCTGGTTCGTTGGCTGGTGGGTTTTCTTTTGG